AATCAGACTATATTTTTTACATTGTATAATAATGTGAACATGTGTCCTCAATAAGATACAGCTGTTGTGTGCATACATCCTCAAGCAAGAAAGGTTATAGCTTCTGTAACACTTCCACAAAGAATACCTGATTTTGATTTTGCCACACAATGTGTATTATAGAAGATTACTGTCAGTGTGTACAAGGTAATTGAAATTTGTCTGTTCACATATCCTCCTTGTTACACATATACAGTCCCCCACACATAAACATTACATCAGAGCGGTGGTTCCCAACCAGTGGGTAGGGACCCCCACTAATGGTCACCAAAGCTTCACAGGGGGTCGCAAGGGCCTTTTTGATTTCAAGGGGTGCAAGAAAACTTAAAGTACACAATTTCAACAATCACAGAGCTAATAGAACAACAAGAAAAAACACAGAATTTCTAAAAAAAAAAAAAAGAAGCCTATTGAGGATGTATGAACATAAAAAAACCACATAACACGGGCAGAGAATTGTATAAAAAGGTCCTAAAAATATCAGGAAAACTAATATCGGATGCTCACAGGAAATAGTATGCTCAAAATTCATCCAAATCGCTCATTTTACATGAGCTTCCTGCAGTTATTGTGTTCACTATTTGGGTTCATTACAGTTCACCATTTGTCGTTGAAAATAATATGAAATATCCATAAAATATGTCACTAAGTCCGTTCACTCAATGATAGAAAAAGGGCCCCTTAAAGAAAAAGGATGGGAACCACTGCATCAGAGAGGTCAGAGCACAGTGCAGCGCTACTGGAGCAATTTTAGGGCTAAGTCCCTTGCTCAAGGGCACTTAGGCACCAATAGATTGGTTACTCTGGCCTCTTTTTACTTCTAGGTAACTGCACAGCTTCAAGGTAGAATTGTAGCAGCAGACTTAGCAAGTTAACCGAAATATTCGTCTCCCCAGCCACTTCCTCAAGCGCTACCTGGGAAAGCCTTAGGAGTTTGTACTTGTCCAGTGTATTGCAAGACAGCCCAGGCCCCCTTCAAGTTTCATGTGTCTGGAATACCTCCTCTGGGAGAAAGACATTTTTCCATTTTAAAGAGCTACCATCTTATTCCAAGCTTCTTCTGGATGTCTGAGTACCTTACCCCGTCTACTTCAGTCCAGATTCCCTGTAAAGGAAATATATGTCAGCTCTTTGGACCCATTAATGCATTCTTTTGATCATTCCAGAGCTCACAGCCACAGTTCAGGGTAATAACATAGAACAAATGGCAATTTGAGAGCTTCACCTTCTCGCTGGCTCTCTTGTCACCATGACAGTCCTGTACGATTGCTGCATCATTTCACTTCATGGCAGATTCTGCACCACTCAGCCCTGTCAATATCATGCTCCATCTTGTAAACAAGACCCTGAGATACTTGAACTGTTGGAGCAGCAACTCACTTGCAATCAAATCAAACAGCAATTTACAATTTTCTCAGCTTTTGAGGCACTGTGGGTCATAGTTTAAGTAAAGGCAACAGAATCACACCACTGGCAAAAAGCAGAGTTGGGAAAATGTGGTCACTCTATACTCTTGTCATTCTGTCCATGATCCCGAGCTGAATCTGTCACTAGGCACAACCTTGGCCCAAAACAAAAAGAAAACACACTTTAAAGGCAAGAATGTGGACACAGCTGTGTGTGAGGATGTGAGAGCTTGGAGCAAAGCCCCTAGAACCTCATATTCCTGAAATAGCCCATAAGACACCATTCGGGGACACGGCCATAACTCCACTTATGCAGATAACACTTGAGTATTCTTGTAAGAGCTGGTTCATTTCCGCTTGTACTGTGTGAGATGCCAGACTTGGTCAGTGCCTCCTTACATAAGCTTTCCCAGAGAGGCTTATGCCAGTAGAAATATGAATAACCAATACTTTTATTTTCATCACTGCAAAGTGGAAGATGCAACCTATTACAAGAAGCATTACAGACAGTTCGGGCTGGTAGATTCTGCTGCATGGAGTTTCCTAATGATGATTTCTCTGTAGTGACGGTGTCACCAACATGCACAGTTGCCTTATAGTGAACAATATGGCCTCAGTGTTAGTGATGTCACTACTACTCCTAGGTTTCTAAAGAGGAATTTTAACGAGAAGAGCTGCAATAGTATCCTGGTTTTGAGTTTTATCCTGTTTTTAATTATGTTCGGGATATGGCGTTCACAGTGAACATGAAAAACCTAGTTATTCTTGTATATGTAATCATCCAGGTTTCTGATTGTCTGCTAGCAGGTGTGTCCAGACTTTTCATTCTCCCTCCTTGCCATTGTGTTCTGTACCAACAAAGAATGTTCAGAAACCAGTATATGGTGTTTACATGCCCCAGTATCCTGGTTTCTATCGAAATACGTGTCCAGGTTTTTTCAAAACCAGAATAATGGGTCTTATTCAAGTTTCTGAAACCAGGATGAGCTTTTTGCATGCACAAAAAAAAACCCAGGATGCTCAAAAAAATCGATATCACGATACCAGAAATTTAGTAGAAATACCATTGAAATTCCTCAGTTCGATACCAGTTCAGTACCACAGTAAATATGTCCCAATCAAGCTTCTTTGGCCCCAATCTCCATTTAATATTTAGCCTCTGCTGATACCAAGTCCCGATCCAATACTTGTATTTTCCGTAATAATATAGGTGAATAGGTCTGCATTACATTAGGAAAAGAATACATTTATCCAAGCTGTTCCTTATTGTTTTTTAATACGTATACTACTAAATAACAATGCTCTGTTTGTTTTTTTCCTGTTATCTTTTTTGATCGTGTGGCTGTCTAGAGGGAGTTTCTCTCCCTTTTAAAAGTATTCTGCAGTGTTTGTTGCTTCGGTACAGCCTTGGCCAACCTGAGTTACCTGAATGAACTATATTCTGCTGATTGTTTTTCCTTGTCTGTACATCTTTTCCATGTATTGCATTAATAAATTACTCTTCTTGCTACACTCCTGCAAACACATAGCTCAATGGAGCTAAGAGGCAGATTTTGGTATCGACGTGGTACCAAAGTATCGGTTCTTGTGACCTTAGTTAACCATAACCAGGATACTAGTGTGTATGTTAATACACACATTATTTTCATTAGTATTAAGTCTTGCTGGTAGACACTTATATTCATTTATTTTTTAACTTCTTTTTCAATTCAATACTTCTCCTCAGACATATTGCAAAACTTAAATTTGAATGAATAACACAAGAGTTGGCCTCCTTCAGTCTTTTGTAAATCTGGCATTAACAAGGTTTCTGCATCCCTTCAACTGCCTTGTCCAAGTAAAGTCAAGCTAAAACCAGGTATGACAGGCTGACTCTGCCAAACTCAAAGCCTGACAGTCAAATATCCCGACACGACATAGCCTGGCTACTCTGTCTGGATTGCAGGCGAAACAGTTTATAGCACAGGAACATTAAACTCAGCCAAATGAATTCCACCTGCGTTGCCCCCACCCCCTCTAATCTAGCTGTCTGTTTGATTGAAGGTTGTGTGCTGGTCATCCTCGAGATTTAAAGACAATCTTATCTACATACTATGCCATTTAGCAGCAGTTCACTGCTGATATGTTGTGTTTTTTTCACTGTCATACTCTGAGTTGTTGTAATCTCTTCTGGTTTGATGCATTATATCCAATATTACTACAAACATTACCATCACCTTAAAGCAGGGGCCTCAAACTCCGGGGGCACTGCTGGTATTGTCATCTCGTAGGAGGTCCATTTTAACACTCATCCTACAAGAAAGCATATTTCTGAAAGTATTTCCATTACTAACATCAAACCTGAAAAAATGCAAACAGCAGTTTCTTTACATTTTTATATCGTCTTGTTATATCATCTTTGTTGTTTGCAGAAGCCTGCTGTCTTCTTATGAACCCTTTGCACCATTTGCAGGCAAAATATAATTGTTTTATTTTAATTGTATATGTAGAGGTAATTTAAATTGATATCAAACAACTGATACCTTTGACTTCTCTGTTTTAAAAAATCCCATGAAAAGACCATATCAACAAAGACTTCATTGTACCAACAGATATTGCCTGTGTAGTCACTCCTGATATATCTTATTCCTCTGTGCCCGATAGACCTCCAGTGCTGCCCAAAAACTATTAAACCCATCAATGAGCCACACTGTTGCTGACTGACATGTTCATTTATTACGGTTTACATGGACACCGTAATTCATGTTGAGCCCATCCCACTCACTAGTGCACCAAATGTGGATCAATCCACGGCTGAAAATAGTCCCAAACAAATGCACTATTTACTCCTGTTTGAGTTACATTATTTGCTAAACACTACAGTGCCCAGCTTTTTCAGGAAATGACGTGCCCTTTTTAAAAACCTGTATATCTGTCATCCATTTTTAAAGAAGTGCATTTTCTAATGGACTGATGTTTAGTGCTCAGATGGGGAGGTTGGAGAGTGATAATGGCAGCTTTATCCTTTTAATCAGCAATCCAGCTTTTACACACAAGTGGTAACATTTACATATTTGACACTGTAGCCACTTATGTAGCGTTTTGCTTTATTGTTGATATAGTTCCTTGTAGTGACACTCTAAATACGTAGGGTTTTTTTTTTCTATTTGGTCAAAACAGATCATTATGATATGAAATGCCCACCACAGAATTCAGTTCATTCTAACCAAGCCCAGACACCAATATAATATGCTGGTATGTCTAATTCTGTCTATTAATTTGTATTAATCAGACTCAGTAATAAAGAAAGGCTTAGTATTTTATATTTTTTTATAGGAAATATTAAAATATTCCTCATTGTCACTTATTCCATTCCATCATTTCACTTTCACACCCCTTTCTCACCCCTTTCTAACAGGCATAAACACCCCCACTCCTTGATCTCTTTCTCGCTCTCTCCCTTTCTGGCTTAGTGTTTTGCTCCTCCTTGCTTCCCCCATAAACCCCCCTCCACTTTCTCTCGCTCTGCATTAAGCCCTGCTTGTCTCTCTGCCTCTCTGATCCTGGGAGCAGTGCTTATGGGAGCTTCTGAGACCAGTGTGAGCACTGCTGGTCTCCAGTTGCCTTCCCAGCACTGCAAGTGGAGGACGAGTGGAGGAGGAGGAGGAGGTGGGGGAGTATCCGTCCTCATGCCCTAGGCGGGAGACAGGAAAACGGGAGAGGAAAGGGGAGATAGAGGGGGAGAAAGTGAGAAGGAGCATGTTAGAGATGCAGAGAGTGTAATAATAAAAGGAAAATGAGAGAGACAAGAGAAGATGAGGGCAGGAGAGAAGAATAGAAAAAAGCCAGGAGTAGAAAAAGAGAGAGCGAGAGCAGGGTGGCACAGGGAGAAGAGCAAATGAGTGAGCGAGTAGGAGACGAAGAGAGAGAGAGAGAGAGTGAGCGAGAGAAAGCGAGAGGGAGGGAAGCGAACAACACTGCAGACACTCGCCCACTGTCACTGCTCCACAGCCAGAGGACAGAGGCAGCAACGGCAACAGTGGGAGCGGATACGATGGAGGAGGGAGACCGTAGCGTCCATCTGCAGCTCAGTCCCCGTCACTGACAGCCTCCCTCTGGGACCATCCTGCCAAGTTGGGAGCAAAACGGGAAAAAAAAGAAAAAAGGAGAAAACTACTCTCTCTGTCCTTCACAAGACCAAGTAGCGGACCTCAACTCCTGCAGGACTGATAACACACACACACACACACACACACACACACACACACACACACACACACACACACACACACACCTCATTATTTGTCCCTGTCTCACACTCACATATACTTTACTCACACCCTCACTCTCTCAAACTGAAGCACACTTCACTTCTTGTTGCCTTTTGGACGAGTGTGTTTTTCTTTTCTTTTTTTCTACACTGCCTTCCCTGACCTTCTGAGCTGAGTGGATTTACTTTTATCCTGTGGCGGACCATGGGGCTAGGGTGGAGGGGTGCAGCAAGGACCCTCCGAATAAGGACAGAGGGGTACCTTTTGGTGACATTGCTGCTGTTCTGTGGTTTCTGGAAGGCTCATGCACAAACAGATGATGGGAAGTCTGTCTACTTCTGGGAAACAGGTACCGCTAAACCACTAATTAGAGATTATATTTGATCCCTTGTTTTACATATGGAGTGTTTATGATGGTAGGTGGTGGATTGGTGTGTGCGGTCGGTGCTGCTATGGTATGTGACCTCCCACACTCACACAGTCAGATCTAATCATGTGTTGTTTTCAGTTCATTGTTTGTGGGAAATGTGGACTGAAGGGTGTGACAACTTTTAGATTTTAGGGAGCAATTTAAAACCAGTGCATCCGACTGTTGCCTTTCTATCATGAAAATAAAAGGTTTATGGATCCACTATCGAAAGAGACACACTCTCATGCTTAATTAACTCGCACAGGGCTACAATACCTCCAGATGACACGCTTTGGTTGTCTCATAAATTTGTTATTTGAGGTGGTCGACTCTACACAGCTGAACTTCAAAGATACATACACTTGAAAGATGACCCAGAAATCTACAGTACAGCTGTCTCCTCACACTGAATAGCATGTGGCACACAGGACAACCATGATCCATTTTTGAATGGATTACTTTCATCTCCCTGAGTCTCAGGTGATGCACCATTATTGAAATGTTGCTGCTGTGTGTTACAGCATGGAGATGATTGATAGGTATTGCCGCACAACAGTGCTTGGTGAGGGAAGTGGAGGAAGGGTATTGATGTGACATCAGCGTTGAATGAGCAGCTTGTGTGTGTGTGTGTGTGTGTGTGTGTGTGTGTGTGTGTGTGTGTGTGTGAGAGAGAGAAATTCATACATGTAGTAGATGTTGTAGATTGAAGGGCGGTTACAGTGTTTCTTATCTTTGTACATGTTTATGTCCTGCACTGAATGTAGCTGTGTTTAACTGTCTATCAGGGGAAGGCTCGTATGGAGTCAATTGAGAGTCAGAGTGGGATCCATTGAATCATATTATCACTGTTGACATGCATGGGAATCTCACTACCAAACATGGATGCTGAGCACTAATTTAAGGTTCTAGAGAACAGATGTTGCAATGAGCTGTGATTATTACCATGATGATTTATAATGGACACTGAGAAAATGACTCTCCGCAGCATTCTTCAAAACATTTGGGAAGTCCTTTAAGGCATAAATTAAATGACCATCTCTCCCTGAGATTAATTTAATCCTCCCATAACCAGGAAGGCTCAGGAGGTTAAGGCGTGCTCTTCTCAAACATATTTGACCAAAAACTACATTTTCTCAATGCCAGTGCAACCCTAACTCAAACACCCTCACTCCACTTGTCCTGCCCCGCCTTGCCCAGCACCGCTCCCTAGTTGACGTATCCCACGGCTCTCCTGTGGCTCTGCATCTTTAAAGAGGATGTAGCTGAGTAAGGAGATTAAAGGAGCAGGGATTTAACAACCCAGGAAAGACAGCCCAGGGAAGAGACTTGAGAAAGAGAAAGGCAGAGTGAGCTATGCAGGCGGAGAGGGACTAACTTAACCTACATCTACCCTACTGTAGGTCATCGTGATTACGCCTCTCTCCCACGCTACAGCACCTTTCTCCCACACTATACATGCTCCTCAACGGCAAAGCTCTAGGCTCTGTGCTTTGAAATGTAATCCAGTGCTTGGAGTTTGTTCACTTCTTCCCAAATAAAAGGTAGCGCATTGATTTCAGCCCTGGAGTCTCCTTTTTTCTGTGCCTCTTTGGTTTGACAATTGCCTGCAGAGTATTAAAATCACATAGGGCAATTTAGGGCTTTGAATCCCAGTGCTTTTCATCAAAATGTGATTATGTTTGCACAAGATTTGCATACTTTTTCTTGCCAATCGAAGCTTGTTTAAAAAAAAAAAAAAGAAACACAAAATGTGATGATGTTTGTGCACATTTGCAGAGTGTGCAGTGGAGGGAATATTCTTGTGGCAAGCAATGCTCTGATGTTTTGCATATTGATGAGTCTAGCTGAAATACAGCCCCTGTCTTCGAAACTGTGGGGAATTGGGCCTGCATTGCTTTTATTGCCTTCTGTGAAAATATGATGTATCTGTTTTGGAAGGTGAGACAGTTCAGCGCTGTTTTTATGCTCTGAGAATTCTATTCAAATGAGGGAGATAGAGACAACAGGCTCCGCCAGACACTGCCAGTGATATTTCTGAAGGTGGCGGTGAGGATAACTGGAAGAAAAAAAACTAAAGCGATTTATAGCCACCATGAGGACGGTGGTGGTGATGATGATGGTGATAACGACTTGCCACCGTTTTTCCGGGGCCTTTGAGAGAGTGCAGGGAGTTTGTCTCCCTCTCAGATGCTATTTTCACACCATTTTTCTTCTTGTCGCCTCCTCTCAACTGTGCACTCCCTATGCACTTCTTCCCCTGCATCTTTACCGCTCTGTTTCCCTGTCTGGCACTCTATTCTATATTTTGCCTTTTCTGTTTTTAAGATCCATGGCTTTTCCCAACCGTTGCAACAGTAAGTTATGCTGAAATTCCACAGCAACCTTATCTGTTGCCAATAGTGAGGACGCATAAGTCTCCACACCAGCATGACAATAGATCTAACACATTTTGCTGTATCCTGCATATTCATGTGTAATAGAGAACTGTGCCACACATGCAGAGGCACACACACTCGTAAATACACACACACAGCAGGTGCATCTTTCCCATTCTGGTACTGTGTGCGTGCTTCATTAGACTCTGTTGTTGGAGCGACAAGGTTGGAGCTGTCAAGACCTCACATGTCTGCCTGAGGACAAAGCAATTACAGGTGGTAGAGCAGGTGATGCTGTATTCAAGCAAACACATACTGTAACATCTCGATGTCTTGGCATTCTCTGTATGCCTGACTGTAAGTGTTTCCATGTGCAGTTTGGTACATTTTTCAGTGGATGTTAAAATACATTAAAACCACAGACAAAGAAGGATAACTTTACAAAGGAATTCAACATTTTAATATGTTGAGGCTTACATCGACAGGTGCCAAATCGTTTCTCAGTTTGGTTTGACAAACCCCGTTCTGATCACTGTTTATCAACTCCCACCCTCCCTGAATACGAGTCCGTAATCTTTTCTGTGATCCAGATTATCTATCATTCAGATTACGCAGGAGTCGCCTCTGGCCTCTTACCAAGCCAATCCCAGTTCACCTACCGTCTCGCCTCATCAGGTCAAGTCACACTTCTTAGCACGTGTCTCTCTGGGCCTTAAGTCACCTGAGTCATGAGCCTGTGCATAACTCCAAATAATTGCTGCAAGTTGCTTACTTAAATACCATCCATGTGTTTGTTCTAGTGCACACTGTGTCTGTCGGTAACATCAAAATGCTGCTAGAATTTATGTTTAATGGATAAATCAATACGTTTGAGCAAACACATTGGCATGCAACATTTTTAAACCATTTGAGACATAAAATCAAACCAGTGGCTCTGTATCAAACAAGCTTGTGATTGGCCACCTGTTACATGCTCTACACAAAGCAGTGGCATTTTAACTTTTGTTTATTGGCTTCCTGGATGATTAACTAACCAAATCATGCATCACAGGCTTGACAATTGTATTCATTGTTAGATTTAAAAGGTAGTAAGGAGGACTCAGTAAGGATGATAAATACATTTTCTCTGCAGATATCTTTTAGTTTATTTTTATCAGATGAGCTAATGAGATCGTTTCAGATCATTTAATCACGCTGTTGTGAATCCAGAGTATGTGTATGTAGGTGAGTGTGTTTGTGTGTCTACTTCTGTACATTTGTCAGCCCTGCATCTCTAATGACCTGTCACTTTGCAGAAACAATGGAGTTTTAGTGCTACACTGTATCATACAATGAGGACCACTGCAGCTTTCAGCACTCTGAACGCGATGCTGTGTGTCACCACGTCCTGCTGATGTCACCTTTCAACGCACTGGGACAGGGCGACTAGCGCTGACAGGCCATTGTTAGCCGAATACATTCCTCCCTTCAGAGAGGCACTGGCAGTGAAGGATGTCACCCTCGCTGAGGGTTGTTAGTGGCTTTCCCACAATCACCTGCTATTATGGCGGACCGGCTGAAGAGCCCATCCAGGAAATTGAAGGAGAGCGGGTGTGACGGGTTCACAAGTTCAATACAGCAAGCCAGGGTCATTAATATGGCAAAACGCCTTCAGCCAAACTGATTGTAGTAACTGAACACAAGACAAGCTGAGTTCAAAAGTAGAGCCTTGAGATAGATTGAAACAAAAGTGCAGTATTGATCTCTTGCAGGTGCCTCGGACTGATAGAGCATAAAGTTGCTTCTGTTGCCTTATTTTCTACCACATCAGAAATCTGAGGATTGATTAGTTTTGCTTGATCATCTTATTTTATGTGGAATGACTTTGACTGAATATTCTCATTTACAATTTCTCATTCTATTAAAGCTTTTTCTTTTTTTTTTTTGTCTGCATACTTGATTGATTCACGTCCTCAACTGACCTGAACGTCGGCCTCACTCATTTCCCCGGGTTTAAATTAGAATCTGCTGTCTCTGTGCACCCTGAAAATCCTTTGCCTTAAATAGCTGTGTGCTAATACCTGCGTACCTGTGTTATGTGCGACAGTTGTCTTGAATTGAGCCAGAAACAAACACGCGTCAGACTGAGTAGCTGTAGCTTTGATATAAGCAGGAATGTGACTGGCATCCTCCCAAATGAGAATATCCCTTGGAGATTCCTGCCTCATTTTAGTGAGTGCATTACAACGTGACCCTCTATGACCCTAATTAGCATAGCACCTGAGGGCAAACAAGAGTCTGGTAGGTAATTGGCCAGCCACTATTTAAATTCCTTAGCAACAGGCAACAAATTTAGGCCATGCATATAAATTAAGACAATTTCCTTGGGATTTTCATTTTTCATTACACAGTATGCCAATGGGTTTTATTTTAATTCAGCATGCTTGTGTTTTTGTTTTCATTTTTAGTTCAGTTGGAGTGGAAATGGAGGCTAATTGTGTCTGTTGTGTGTGTGTGTGTGTGTGTCTGGCCCTGCAACCGTCATAAAATGAGCACTCAGCAGCCTGTGGAGTCTCTGGAAAAGCC